GCAGCACATACATGCTCTTGTTTAGCATGGCAAATGAGTGGAATACCTTGTGCACATGCTTGTGCAGCAATCAAGCTACTTCATGGCAATGTGTACAATTTTATGAATGAAAGTTACAAGTTTACTGCTCAAGAAAAGATATATGCCACTAGCGTAAGCCGACAGCCACACATGACTGTCCACATCCAGAAGCATTGACGGTGACAAATTTATTAACCGAAACCTTTTTGGAGCCACCAATGACTAGAAGGCCTCCTGGTAGGCCAAAGAGTAAAAGAAGGGAATCTCAATTCCAAAACAAAAAGGTTTATCATTGTGAAAGATGCCATGAGATTGGTCATACCTCCAAGACTTGCAAGAATCCTAATCCATGCTAGAAAATATTACATACAAGTGTATTTTTTTATTTATATATATGGAAGTTGTTTTTGTTTAGTTTTTAGTTTATTGTACATAATGTATTAGCACTTGCCAATAGTAAATGCATAAATTGTAAATGAAGTGATACCTTATAGTCAATGACTAATGGCAAGTAGTCAATAGGTTCTTGCACCTGGTTGATTTTCGCAGGGATTAATAGCACCAAGTACATCAACACTTGCCAATGGAGAATTAACACCTTGTCAATATAGTTATATCCACTTGTTAATAGGCAACGGAAGTAGTCAACAGGTTCTTGCACCTTGTTGAATTTTAAAGGGAATAACAGCACTTACTACTTCAGCACTTGTCAATATCGAATTACTACCTTGTCAATATAGTTAATAGTACTTGTTAATCTCCAAAGCTAAGTAGTCAACAGGTTCTTGCACCTTGTTGAATTTTAAAGGGAATAACAGCACTTACTACTTCAGCACTTGTTAATGTTGAATTGCTACCTTGTCAATATAGTTAATAGTACTTGTCAATCTCCAAAGCTAAGTAGTTAACAGGTTCTTGCACCTTGTTGAATTTTAAAAGGAATAACAGCACTTACTACTTCAGCACTTGTCAATGTCGAATTACTATCTTGTCAATATAGTTAATACTACTTGTCAATCTCCAAAGCTAAGTAGTCAATAGGTTCTTGCACCTTGTTGAATTTTAAAGGGAATAACAGCACTTACTACTTCAGCACTTGTCAATGTCGAATTACTACCTTGTCAATATAGTTAATAGTACTTGTCAATCTCCAAAGCTAAGTAGTCAACTGGTTTATTTAACTAGCTAATTTTCCACGAAAACGACAGCACTTACTACCTCAGCACTTGTCAATGGCGAATTACAACCTTATCAATATAGTTATTACTACTTGTCAATGGTGAATTATTAACTTTTAATGTATTTATAGACACTTGTCAATAAAGTAATAACAACTTATTGACATGTAATTAATAAAACAAACTGTCTGCCACATTTACAAACTTGTAATCAGCTTTTATAACCAGCGTTATCTAAGTTAACTACACAAAATGAGCTAACTATACAAAGGGATATGATGATCAATAAAATTATATCCTAAGGTTCTATAAAAAATCTTCTATTTCCTTTTCCTCATCGCTTGGGATCCTTCTAACAAGGACATGGCTTTGGGCTCCTTCACATTGTTACGATGACTCAATAGCCACCACAAGAGTTCTACCTTCTTCTTATAGAGGTCATCCTGCACCACAAGTAAGTCTTATAAGGGATAACAACAAATATGTAGTACATGAAAGAGGAAAATGTAAAGCAAAGAATGTATACGTCAGATCGTATACCTATTCTTATCCACAGTGTTGTCCCACGATTGTAACCATGTCATAACGTGCACGCCACGAGTATGGCTAAAAACAAAATAAAAAACATAACGTAAAATTAATTTTTCACATGTAAATATAAGCTTAATGATGTATAAACATAAAAGGAACTCACGTATCAGTTTGCACATGAATTTAGCCCATATAATGTCCATGCTAACGTCATCCTCAAACAATTATGGCTTGACTGCACGAAGTAGAGAGTGAAAGCAATTCCTCTGCAAACTCAAGACTTGCAATGTTAGTAATGTTAATTTACAACTAATCAAGAAGACAATGACAAATATAGATGTTAGTAATGTTGAGTGACAAGTATAAACATACTCATCCTCTTGCCATCATTTCTTTGGGATCTAGTTGTCCTTTCTTCTTCTTTTTCTTCTCCTTTCCCTTGCCCTTCTTCTCAACATTCTCTTCTTCTTCCTCTTCTTGCTGTCTTTAGAAATACTCCCTGTTACTGACCAATGAATCTAACACATAGAAGTTCTTACTCTTGGTCTCAAAGACATAGCAAAACCAATGACTATGGAAAAGAGTTGGGCTAAAAATGAAATCACAATCATCAATGTTATATCCAACAAACTCAGGAAATATTTCTCCCTTGTTGTCATCTACCATCCATTTCAAAGGGTTGCTGATCATTTTTAACATGAACTCAGAACCAAAGATATGTCTTTGGACTTTCCCTTCATTTTCCTTTTGGTCACCTACCAAAGTTCGGGCAACCATTGATATCACCCTGTCACTAATCCATCTCTTGCTACCAAAACATTATAGCTCTGCACAAGTCAAGTAGTAGCTATAAAATCTATAATGATCTTGTTGAAGAAGAAGGAAAAATTAAATAGATTGTCACTAATATTTTAGTCAGTCAATTTTTAGGCACAACATAGGGACTTACTTGTCTCCCTCATCTTCCTCACATGGTGTTGTGCATATTTGAAATAATTGCTCCTTCTCATCCATTTTTCTCTTCTTTCCAACATTAGTTCTAACCTATGGAGATTTCACAGCAGATCTTTTATATCTTTTTGATCTTCTAGGATGTTTACTTGATTGTTCTTCTCCTCTCCCTTCCTCGTCCTCGGTAGAATCTTTCCCTCATACACCTGCCTCCTTATCCTCATCTTCTTTTAAATCGCATTGTTGCCCTTTTCTTTAGGAGAACCTTGCTGTTCATCATCTTTTTCTTTATCTTCTTCACCTTCTAATTTTTCTTCTTCATTCTCTTCCTCTTTTGATTGTTCAGCTCCTTCTTCGTTGTATTCTTCTTCTTCTTCTAATTTTTCTTCTTTATTCTCTTCCTCTTTTGATTGTTTAGCTCCTTCTTCATTATATTCTTCCTCTTCTAATTTTTCTTCTTCATTTTTTTCCTCTGAAGCTATCCCCTCATCAACAAGTCCTTCCTCTTTTATTTTTTCATCTTATTCTTTCCCTCAGAATCTATCCCTTTATCATCATCTTCTTCCTCTTATGATTTTTCACCTTCTTCCTCTCTTGAGCCTTGTCCAAGCAGCATTGATTGTAAGCTCATTAACTCCTCTCCAATGTCAGACACAAACGACAGCACTTTTCCATACAGCCTCCTTACTTCCTGCAAGACAATTACTGACTCAGTGCATAAATAAGACCATATATATCAATCCATTGTACTCTATTTTATACATATCGAGTGAACAAATGCCGGTTCTTGATACACCTTAGTAGATGAACTACCATATACAGTAGTTGGCTCATGCAAGATGCCTCAATTGCTCTTTTTCTCCAACTTTATTCTTATATTCACTTTATCATCGTCCCAATATTTCAGAGCATCTACGGCTTTTGGACAACCTTGGCCAACTGGAAAATTCTGGAAGCCCCATACCTAAAAACTTGACAAATTAGTATAAACATAAAACTTTTACATGGAAAACTTTGAAAGGCTATCACTTTGGATTAATGTAAATTGAACACATACTTACCATTAGAAAGTAGATACATCCCCCAACGTTCTTCCTCGTCCTTCCCTTCCCTTTACTCAGCTGTTTCTTGTAGTCTTCTACCTCCTTGCAAAGTTCATTAAAAATGAACGTACCCCAATCATATGTGCTTGGTTTCTTTTGTGTCTCATAAACGACCTTCAATATACGGTTGCTAACCTCAAGACTTGTGGTTGACAATAGCAAGGTTCCCAATGCATACATTACAAAAAGTAACTCAAATTTAGCTACCTCCTTTCCAAATATAATCATTTCAGCTATTTCCTTGTATAGCATTTTATAGTAAGTATTTCTCAAATTCTTAAAAGCTCTATCATTCACATTGACATCCCCAGTAATCTGCTTACCCTCATTACGTAAGCCCATCAAGTCATTCACATCCTTGGCCTTCATTTGCTTGATTTTCCCCCTTATGCATATTTCACGAGTTGGGGGGTTAAAGGCATGCATCAACTCTCCACAAATATCTCTTTGAATTTTTTTACAAGACACATCAAGAAGCCTATGGAATCCTAGCTTCTCAACCCTTTTTTGTAATTTCTCATCTTTCTTAACATATTTTGCCACTTCACCAAATTGGCTAGGAGAGCAGCGCGTATGAAATGGTACGGTATATCTCTTCACTGTTGTCTTTGCTTTATCTTTCATCTTCCTTTATCTAGAAAACAAATAGAAAAGTTCAACTACATGTGTTGAAAAGAGATATATGCATACTAGTCATTACTAAGTTCCAACTCACAGATTTCTGCACTAGCATTGTTTATTAATAAGAAAAAAACACAAGTCACAAAGGCATGACGGTTCACTAGTTATGACAGTTCACTAGTCAATGGAGCATACTGTTGTTGTCAATGGAATTTATGGTTGTAGTCATTAAAGTAATTAGTTGTCATTCATGGAATAAATGATTTTGGTTAATACAGCATATGTTGTTGTCAACAAAGAAAGCAGTTGTCGTCAATGGAGAAATTCGTCCATATTTAAAATTACATATTTTTAAGCAGAATTGGAAGTTAAACTTACCATAATAAAAATATAAAATGCAAGAGGAGTAGTTGAAAGTTGAAACATGCAAATACGCGCCTTAAGTAATTACAAAAATCTCATGCATAACTACACTTTTGCAACATATCAGAAATATACTTGGTAAGCTTGACTTGATAAACATTAGAGACTGTGTGGCCAGGTTTTGTCTCTTTCAGAGTACAGAGCACAACTATATGATTATCTTAAGAGCAGGATGAATACTATTACACCTAATTTGACTGCTCTTGTTGGGAAGCTTGTTGGTGCTCGCCTTATTGCCTATGGTGGTAGCTTCCTCAATCTTGTAAAGATGCCAGGGAGTACTGTACAGATACTTAGTGCTGAAAAGGCTCTCTTTAGGGCCCTAAAGACTAAGCATGCTACCCCAAAATATGAGCTTATTTATTATGCATCATTAATTGGTCAGGCTGCATAAAACTTTAAGGGTAAAATTTCTCGATCACTTGCTGCAAAGACAGCATTGGCGATTATGGAAGATGCTCTTAGACATGGTCAACATAATTCAATAGGATTGGAAAACAGAGCCAAGGTGCTTGTGCTATTCTCTAGTTTGTTCTCCTACTTTTGTTGTCACTTGCTGCCATTGCTTATATATACTTTCACACAGCTTGAAGCACGCCTAAGGAGTCTTGAAGGCAATGAACTAGGTAGACTTGTCGGTTCAACTAAAGGAAAGCCAAAGATAGAAAGCTATGATAAAGATTGGAAGAAGGAAGTTGGAGGCTTCCTTCATTTTCTATGTCTGAAAGGATGCACCATAAATTTTTTTTTATGTGTTCGAGTTTTTTGTTTTGTGTAGACTTGATTCTACTCTTGGTCAAGCTCCTCACGGTGCGTCTATGGATAAAGAAATGCAAGAGCTTCTTGTTGCTGAAGAAAAGAAAGAAAAGAAGAAAAAGAAGAAAGAGAGAAATGGGGACGACGATGCTGCTCTACAAGCTGATGCTGGCAAGGAATCAGATTAAGTGGAAACTGCAAAGAAGGAGAAGAAGAAGAAATGTAGGGATTCTGCTGAGGATGGCTAGGTGCAAGCTAAGGAGGATTACAGAGATGGTGAATTACAGTGAGAAGAAAACTGACATATGAGCAAAAAAATAGAGACGGAGAATTATAGTTATGTGCGAAAATGGAGATGCAAAAAATTAAAGTCACAATCGAGATACCAGCTAAAAAAAGAAAAGAACAAATAAAGGAATAATGGGAGAAGAAAACGCATAATCAATGGCAGTTGAACCTGTGGTGGCGAGACGGCGGCAGAGGACGGCAGAGACAGTCTAATGATGGCGATTAGGGCAAATATGAGTGGCTGAAGCAGGAGCAAGCAACTCTTATTCTTTACTCCTTCGAGTTTTTCACTCTCTAACGGCGTGACGGTCTTCTCCGATGGAATGCGACCTCCAGAATAGTGCTCGGCTCTTAGCTCTGGAGCACGACAGAATGAGGAAGACACAGCTGTTTTTAGTTTTGTGGGTTAGTGGGAAGCAGACTGATTTTTCATATTTCAAATAGAGGGCAAATGGGTAATTTCACTTTCAGACTTATTCACCCTTAGGTCCCTAGGGACCTGGAAGCTATTTCTTAAATTCATGGGACCTCAGCGTATTTAAAGTGCTTCTATGGGACTTTAGACTGATTCCCTTTGATTTACCATTTAGTTGTTGAGAAATGAAGTTTTGATTATTTGTTTAATGATTGGCCACCACTAGGTGAGATTTAGGCATTTGGCTTGAACCTTGAAAGAGGAGACTTAAATTGGACCTTGAGAACTAGTAGCCTATGATTAGTTTAACAATTTGCTATTAGAACAGAAATGTATCTAATGGACCTAGATAATCCTCATGGGTTAGAGTCTCTAATGCAATTAATTAATTAAGGTAATAATTTACTTTAATTAAATTAATTAGGATCCTTAGTGATTAGATTAATTTAGATTCCCAGATTTTCAAAACTGAATTTCAAGACAATTAATGTGGTAATGAGAGGGTTAGGAAGCAAATAGGTGATTAGAACTCTAGAACACTCTTCTCTTGGTTGACTTTAGTTGTTTATGGATTGGAAGTTATTTTTAATTGATTACTTTTAATACTTTCATTTTAATTGTTCTAAAATAAATCTCTTGTTTTATTAGCTTAACGTGAATGAATTTGAAAATTTAATGCCTAATTGCCATTTTAATTAATTCCCTGAGAGATTGACCTTGATTAACTACTAGCTTCAATTGCAACCTGTACACTTGCAGTGTCTCTTAATTTTTGTGGGCATCATTGTTTAATATCAAAAATAAAAGGGGAGGTAATTTCATTGCATTGCATTCAAAATCAATTATATCATGCTTAAAAATAACTTTACCATACTTACACTAGTATTTTGGTCCTATCAACATTTACAATTTATCATACTCAAATACTCAAGGCCAAAATACTAACTATACATTATAGACAATTCTATAGTGCAAGTGTACTCAAAATGCATTCTAGAATTGGCAATATAAATATATTACACAAAAGAAATAACTAAACATAGAAGCATACAATAGGAATTCACTAATTCCTTAAGCTTTATCTTTCTCTAAACCAGAGTTAGAGCCTGTAAAATGTTAAAGGAGAGAGGTGAGTCTAGCCACTTGTAACCAAGGTAAACCTATCCTATGCAGTTGCATATCAATTGAATTAAACATATAAGTGTAGAATAGATCTTCTTAAAACACATACATGCACATGAATCACTACAAATCATATCTCAATCAAATCATTTCCATTTTAATTACATGGTACATAGCCACAAGACACTTAGACATGTAACCATGATTCGATAGATTGATATGGCTTGCCACAACTCAATCTTGTGACATGTCATATAAATCACATAAGCATGATCATACCATTCTTATACCTTCCTTATTTCCTCTAGCTATAACATTAATTAGGGCTCCGATTGCATGACTAGACTACCCAAGCTTACCAATTGTGAGATGTGACCCGACTAAAGATCACAGTACTCACTCTTGGATCATGAATTTTCCTACTCTTAAATCTCTAGGGTGTCATATACCCCAAGCTAATCTCCTCGATAAACTGGTGGAGATAGCTAGGTTCTAATCCCTTGACAAACTATGAGATAGTCCTTCGACAAACTATAAAACAAGGATATATTCTTGTGTACTAAAAGCAGCCTAAAATACCATATGAATTTTTATCTACTCATTTCCCTCGGCAAACTCCCGCCCATTGATTATGCCATGTACAATGCTCACTCACTATTCACAGATTTCATTTTCAAATCAACACATTAGGCTCACAACCATGCACTACCCAAGTAAGCATCAACTCTCATTATATTCATATTTATCACATATAGTACCCTTTTCAATCATAGCACATTCATCATTATCATTCTCAATCATTATTAACAACTCAATTAACCACCACAATGAAACTCTAAAACTCATTTCGCAATCTCTTTGCACCTTTAGTTCAAACCAAAGTAATTACACAATCACAAGATTTCATAACATGTTACACATATTGACAAATCACAATTTACATTCTAAACATATATTTCACATCACGTTGCAATTAACATATAATTACTCAAAATAAGGTTCTCTTGGTTATCTCAAACCTTTGAGAGGTCAAAAGTTTAGCCCTCAATACTTTGCTTCCAAGCTTGACTTTTCAAGCTGAAATGGTGCCCTAAATGTTCAATTTATAATCAAACAATTCTTACTAATCAACATCGTCAAGAACATACTATCAACTCTCACACCTTCACTTCTATAATACCCAACATTATCAATATTTACCTTTGGGATTACCCATTAAGTTTATTAACTCTCTTTAGTCCCCAATAACATTAGTGAGCTATTAAATTTCCATTAATGACATAAACTAATCTTTCAACAACCCTCATTAATATAAATTTTGAATTTTAATGAGGTCCACCAACCAAGTATATTCAAACTCAATATTTCTAGGGTTATATACTCAAATCTACTCCCATTAACTCCATTTGAGTTAATGGAATTAGAGCTATAACTTATATGGACTAAAAATCATCTCCCATTATCAAACCCTTACCAATAACCTCATAAATGTAGAAGAGATAAGGAGGAATGGAGTATAGGATACCCTCCGAATGTGAACCCTAGCAGAGCTTAGTCGCTTGTTTTTTGTTTTCTCCCTTTTCTCTCCTTTAGTTTTCTATCAATTCATGACTAATATTTCACAAAAAAAAAGGGCTGTGTGCCATAGCACACACAGCAGGTGCCATGACACATGGCATAAAGAGGCCCTTCCTACTTCAATGGTCATTTGGGTACTAGGTAGACGTATTGCATGTTGTGATGTATGGCACAGAAACCCTTCCTTCACATTTTCTCTTTCTTTCAATGCTCGAGTTCACTTTTGTTAGGGTTGAAACATGACCAAAATCAATCATTAAACCTCCCTAGCCACACATGTCAATTTTCTCAATTATTATAATTAAACATAATTAGTCTCTTAATAATCCAAGGATTAAAATTTTGGATTGTACAAGGCACGTCAAATTTAACCAATTTCTATGCCATACATTACACCATATGAAGTGTATGCCGCAATGTAATACCCACAATAATTAACCCACTATCCTAAACCTTACTACCACGGTAATTAAGGCTAATGACCCTAATCAACCATTACCATAGTAGAATATGTTTAACCATGGTTACTGTAAATAAGAACAAAGAAAACTATTTGAAAATATGATCCCAATAAAAATAATTTTTAAAACCATTGAGCTAAAAAATGCACAATAACAGATTTATTACTAAATGGAAGCAATATATAACCCATTAATGAGGTTATGCCACAATTTAGGGACAAATTAGTTTTTTTTTATAGAACTAAGCGTTCATACTGCAATTGACTTCCTAACTCAACAATTTAACTAAGTAATACTTGGAAGTCAAAAGGCATATTTCAAACCATATTTTAATAATGAACATCATCATCAAAATCATGCACAAGTGTCAATCACAATTTTACTAGCCACATCATAAGTCCATAAGGCTTGGATTGACAAAAATAGCTAGATATTCGACATTCAATAATATCTTAGCACAATAGTTAATACACAATAACATCATTAGCCTAAATATAAACTCTCATGAGTTTGCTTTACAAAATGGTTAGGCGGACAATAATCATTGTCACAAAGTCAATTACAATCATAGATGTATAATATGTCCCTAAGTTGGCAATAAATAAATAAATAAATATATATATATATATACTACTACTACTACACGAAGATAAAGAAGGCTATACAAAGTGCAATTTAGCTCTAAGCCTTTGGATCCTTCCCTTTGCCACCATTTGAAGCGTTACTTGTAAATATTAAATACGGGGTGAGATAAACATATCAATAATCAAGGAACCTAACTTTTAACATATATAGGCATATTCATTAAGGCATGTAAAGCATTACCTAATAATATTAGATCAAAATAAAACATTTAAATATGTATGATTAACTAATTTTCCTCCTTATCTCCTCTTTACTTCTTTTGACTGATTCTATGGGCTATAATTCATTACAGGACCAATCCATGTGACTAGATTAGCTCAAACTCTCCAATGTTAAGGAGTAACCTGGCCAAAGATCACCACTCCTAACTTGAACTATGGACTCCCCTGCTAATCAAATTCATGTAGGGTGTCATAATTATTGTCGATAATACATATCCACTCATAAAGAAAGTATCATTAGCTAAGCCAAAACCATACCAAACTCCCATCGAAGCCATGCCATAACTATCTAACATTGGGAGCTACTCAAGTATTGTTCATCCCATGTGGACTCATAATATAATAATCTCTCAACTAGGGTGAACTCCCACTCACTTCAATTCTCAATCATGCCATAATGTATCATAGTTTCAATCATGCACAATGATGCAATTTCACATGTCAAGAAATCACAATTT